GTTAAGGTAAAGAGGGGGTGGATGTCAGTCTGCCCTCCTCAGAGGGTCTCGCAGGGGACTGACTAGTTATTTCATAGAGAACCTGTGCTGCTCCGGTCAAGTACATTTTGAATTAACAGTGATAAATGTCCTGTAGCCAAACATCTATATTCCAGGAAAAGAATCTGATAAAGCAAGTCAGTCCTTAAAGATAAGCTTTATATTCACTTTGCCAGGCTTGTTCATAACTGTCTGGGCTCCACTCAGGGTGGTGTTTGCTATCCTCTCTTAATCTGACTTTGGTGTTTTGTGGTTTGTAATGAGCTGTAATATCTAGGGCTTTTCTGAGGAGCTGCTACCTTGCGGTTTCTGCCATGTGCTGTATTAGCACAGACCTGATGAACTGTAGAGATCTGTGGTGCCCTTATTGAATCGCATTTCTTGTTTTCAGACATATTTTTTTCTGTGTGTTGAGATAATTTTGAATTCTAATCCTGTTCCCCAGTATGTCTGACATTTTTGCTGGATTTCCTATGGATTTGACAAACATGCTCTGTCTCAATATCCAAGATACTTATGAAAATACTGAGTAGGGGCTGGATCCAGAACAAACCCCTAAGACCTTCTCTCACCATAGCCCCTCTGCTCTGACTGTGAACAGTTAGCAATTCTGCTCTGACGGTGGCTTTCCAACCAGTTTCACCCATTCCGCAGCAGTTTCATCTAGTTTAATTATTTCTCTAGCTTGCTAGTGACGATGTCTTACCAGCCCCTATCAAAAACCTTGCCAAAGTCATGAGGTATCATCTATCTAGCTCCTGCTTCTCTGCACCCTTAAGCCCGATTACTCCATTATAGGAGAAAATCAGGTTGGTCTGACATGATAGGGTCTTGACAAATCTCAGTTGACTCCTATTTATTACCTTGTTATCTTCTTGGTTGCTCACAGATCGGTTGTTTGATTACTTGCTGATTACCTGTTGATTAGTTGTCTGTCTGGAAGCTGAACCTAGGCCCTCTGAGCTATCATCCCCTGAATCTGCCCTTCTGAAGAGAGCAGAAAGAGATACTGGCTGAGATAAATGTGAGAAATGTTCTTAACCGACAACGAATTCCCAGTGCTCTTTTACCACTTTTTGAATTTGATGTGTAAGTAATGTGAGAACTGTAATATCCAGAGGAATTACCCCTAATAGTTCAAGTTTAAATGTGTCATGGCCCTGAGGGCACTAATGGGCCTTCCTGTCCCTGTCCACTCCCTGGGGCTCCCCAACCTGCCCATGACCCAGGTCCCCAGGGGCTGTCAGCCCCTGCCCCAGCTCCCCCCGCCATGGGGCCTGACAAGGTGGGCCCACAGCTTGGCCTGTCCCCAGAGAGGTGCCTGATGCCCAGGGCTGGGGCTGCCCCGGTGCCCCCCAGCCGCCCCACTCCTGGTAGGGGCATGGGATTATCCCCGGCTGCCAGGTCCTGCTCTGAGCCCTGCCTTGGGGAGGCCCCGGCCCTCGCGGTGCCCTGAGAAAATGGCTCCTGAAGACTTGTTGCCACTTCCAGCATTTTCCAAGATGTTCCAAAAACCAGCTGCTGCTTTTCCAGGGCTTGCGGAGACAGAGATAAGTTGTAAAGGGCAAGCGAGTGACCACAAATATTTAAAGGCACATGATAAGCCGTGGTTTTGCTACAAATCAGTGTTGTTTTCTTGGGTAAGAGGAAAAAGAGAGATGGAAGCTAACTTTGACGAAACCCCTAGTATGAATTAAAGGAGGAAAACACTTCGATTTTTAGAGGTAGGAGAGTAATTATGTTCCTCGTCTCACTGAAAATGTAATTTCAAGGGAGGGGCTAGGCGGCAGGCTGTGAAATCAGCTCTTCAGATAACTGAGCCGTTGCCCTAAGCCAGCGATGTGCCCAGCGATGTGCCGCGAGGGGCGGCAGCGGGACGATGGTGTCCCTCCAGGA